ATGGGTTGAAGGCACCAATTTCGGCTCGTATGTATGATTACATGTTTCTGGATTTCGATCTGATGTCGGGCGGTGCCCGATGAATGTTTATATGCTTTCTGGACTACGGTCCGATGTCGGGCAATGCACGAGGAATGTTTGTATGTTTGTTGTCTTCATGATTCTTGCATGTGTCTGTATTTGTATGTTCTGGATTACGGCCCGATGTCGGGCAAAGCCCGAGGAACGTTAGCATGCTTCCGGATTTCGGTCCTATGTCGGGAGGGGCCCGAGGAATGTTTATATCTTTATGTTATGTGAATATTTTATGTGTATTTGTTGATATGTTATTATATATACTGAGCTTTGCTCGATGCCGGGCGGGGCCCAATGCCGAACTATGTCTGATGTTGGGCGGGACCCGTTGTCGGACATAGTCTGATGTCGGGCGGGGCCCGATGAAGGGGCGGGGCCCACGATATGTTTATATGTGATTATGTGCTTATGTGTATGGTATGTCGTAGTTTCAGGAGACTCACTAAGCTTCGTGCTTATAGTTTTCAGTTTTGGTTTCAGGTACTTCTGGTAGAAAAGGGAAGAGCTCGGGATGACTGTAGTGCACACACCATTATGTTTAGCCTGTGATGATTACTCTAATGTTTTGATTGGAAACTATGATAATAATGTTTTTGAGATAGTTTGACTTATGTTTTCGATGAAGAGTTTTGATAACTATGGTTTTCTTTAATGATTTAAAACGAAAATTTTGGTCACGATTTTTGGGATGTTTCAAGTTGTTAAACAGTTGTCAGGAAGATTCTGAGGTTTACCAAAGGATCAGTTACTTGTGGACAGTTGGAAGTATGGTATGGTTTGGAATAACCATGTTTTAGATTGGGATGATTCTTCGTCAAAACCGATGGTCATATGGGAATATGGAAATGTCTCCATAAAGGGAGTTGATGATTAAAATCTACATGTGAGTTAAAACTTTAATGCAAGGAAGGTGTTCAAGGAGTGTACCTTGAATTTGAGACTTGATTTCCATGGAATTGTTTTTAGTAACAAAGTTCTAATGGAACGTTTTGTAATATTGTTGGCTAAGTCTCTGTGACTTTGACGCCTCAACATTATAGAAAGGACAATGCATGTAAGGTTGGAATTCTAGCATATTTTTGGTAATGACAAGAATTTGGAATTGTGAAATGAGCATCATTGGAATGGTGTCCAGTCGATATGTTCACAAAAGGAATGACAATAGAGAGACATGGTATGCATGTTTATAACATGGCATGACTGATGTTTAATTCAAGTGTTTAGTTGATTATTTGAAACATTATACAATGAATAAAGTCTAATTAATATGGTGATTAAGTAATAAGAGTTTTATTTATATTCAATAGTTTTGAAACCATGGCTAATTAGGTTATTATTATGTTTCACTTTGCATGTTTTACTTTCAGAATAATTTGATCATTCGAAATTCCACAGTCGCTTGTACTTTTGGAAGTAAGTAGCGAATTAAGACTGTCATGAATTGAATTGTAGATTGTCTATGGAGATTAGACATAGCAATAGTTTTGTTGCAATGTTCATGAGTACTTAGAAAATAGGGATTTTGAGTATTGGATAAACCCACGCTCAGAGAATTACTTCATGGATTTTATCATGAGTAATTTTGAGAAGATAATATCTTATATTCTTGAAACGAAGATATATGAGTTGTTGTTTACGAGTCAATTGTGCATTGATAATACGTAAACGCATCAGTAACTTGATATTATAAAACGTATTGTTGTGCATGATTTGGTGAGTAAATAGTTCAAGCACAGAAGTAAAGTTTATTTGTTCCTTTTGCCCTAACGGGAAAAGTGATATCTTTGGGCCCCTCGATGATTTGATGATGACATCTAAAGTGCTTGGCCAAGCCTGGACTGAATTGATGTGTTCAATTGGTAGTCTGATTTCATTCGTCATAAATCAAAAATCGGGAAATAAAACTTAGACAATGAGATTGATTATAATCCATGTCTCATGTCCTTCCGATATCTTGTAGAACGAAGGAATATATGATCTCTTATCTTAGGACACATAACTGAATAGGTCAGAGTTCGACAACAGCTTTGAGAGCTACAACTTGTTGATCAGTTTTTGAAGAATATACTGGAAGTTATAGTTATTAGACTTATCCAAGTGAGAGACTGTTGAATTAGGTGTCTAAGCGCGTAACTATAATTGGTATATAATTGAATTGATAGTAGCACAGTCCTTTTGGTTGCCCTCAAAACTAGCACCTGGACAGATGATTTTAGAGAAAGAGGTTGATTTATTATTTGATTGATAAATTGAAATAAATAATTTGTTAATATATTATGCAAATTATATATTACTTAGAAATAGTAATATTTAATTAATATTTAATCAGAAATTAATTGGAATTAATTTTAGGATTAAAAGAATTAATTAAAAGTGCAGGGACTGAGGTGCAATTGTTCAATAGTTGAGTAAGAGGCAATCTAGAACCCTCCATAGGCTATGGGCGGTTTTCATATGCCTTAGGGTTTCTAGAATAGTCTTTGGTAGATAAATAGCAAAAGGGATAACTGTCCGGTTTAAGATTATCTTGGATTAAGGTTTATCTAGGGTTTCCTGACTGCACTATAAATAGGGCATAACCCAATGATTTTTGGCCAACCTTTTCTTTGGAAGACTTAGCCGAAAATTCTAGCTTCTATCCTTCTTCTCAATCATCTTCCTTTGCTAGTGTTGGGTGTGAAGCATCAGAGGCGTGACATTTGTGACGCTTGCTCTCAAGGCTTCAACAACACAAGGATTTGCATTGTTATTTCTATATAACACTCAAGGTATGATTCTCCTAACCCTTATTGTGAATTTAGATTATACACTAGTATTCTAGGGTTTTCTATTTTGTTGTTCAAGTTGTATGTTCAATTAGAGAAAACATATATCAAAATTATTTAGGGTTGCATGCACACATAGGTTTATATGTTTTGCATAATACCCGTCAAATAATCGCCAAATCGAATTAACACTTATATTGCTTAAGTTCTCAAGTTTAAAACAAACTAAACTAAGAGTGTTTAAGCAAATTCATTTGCAAATCTAATGCCTCTTGACTTTGTCTGACTGTCAGACTTGGTCAGTGACATTGGCTTACGGAATGGATCGACAATATTATCTTTCGATATGACTCATTGACTATGATGTCTTTACATTTGACTCACTATCAAATGTGTTGGAACTTACTGAGTATGTATCTTGTGAGCTTGTGTGACTTGGGATCCATACTCAAGGTAAGTTCACCCTTAAAGTCACAAGAACCTTCACAAGGACCATCAATGATTGAATCTCAACAAGGATGTCACTAATGAATCACTTTTAGTCACATTTTCTTCTTTGCAATTTGACCAACTACAACATACATTAATTGTATTAAATCCGATATGGCGTATTACTTGGTACTCTTACAAGCTAATATCTCACCATTCAGTAAAAGCATGAATTCTGACTGCAAACATAATCGTCTTTATCAGTATGGAACATAGCATCAATGTAACCTTTACAATGATCTATTCCATATTGTCAAGATCATTTCCTCTGTCCTCCTAGGACACTTAAGAATGTTCTTGATCATTATTCATTGATTCTCGTAAAATTGATCTAATCCAACTTGTCATGCTCAAGGCATACGAGTCATTAGATCTGGTACATGTCATGGCATATATGATCGATCCCATAGCAGAAGCATGTGGGACACGACTCCTTTTCTTTAGATCAATAGCAGAATTAGGACATTAGCATCACTCAATGTCATTCCATATTAGCATGAACTCCTTTTTAAGTTCTGTATGTCGAGTTTCCTCAAGATTCTATGTACTTTGGCTTAATCCAACGAATCACTTTGATATATCTCTGTAAGTCCCAAAACTCGGATCTTCTCAAGGTATCAATGCAATTGTTTGAGTTAATGAGGAATCTTAGTCAAACAACTATACGAAACAAACAACTAGATGAATCTATGAACACGTTTCAATGAATGCACATAATTGTATTGATCAATTATCAGGTGCATCCAATAGCTTGTCAACAGTGAATCACTTAAATACTCCAAAAACGCATTATCCTGGAAGAGCTATACATAGACCATATATATACTACACCAATAACCTAAAGCCCAAATATAACAAGCCCACTGAAAATACTAAGCCCACTAGTGACTTCGGTCCAAAACCGAGAACACATATTACATAAAAAAACAAAGCATAAACCACAAAATATACCCCAACAATATCCCCTTGGTTTATTGCTTTTAGTTCTCTTCAAGGCTTCTCCACGAGATGCACGTCCGCCTGATCAAATGCCCCTTCCCACAGCTTATTGTCAATTATTGTAGCTACCTTTCCAGTGAAGGCTTTTGCGGCAGCTTCAAAGAATTCATTCTCAACAATTATTTGAAAGTTTGACAAAGTTCGGATATCACATTCACTAAACTTCAACAAGTCTTTTGGATCAACAATGTGATACTGGTTCTTCTTCAGCTTGATCACTGCTGATGCAGTAGCCTCATCATAAACCCAGAATTGCATTGAATCCAAATTGCCTTCTGGTAAACGTTTGGGAAGCGGAATCCTTTTAGCTTGCTTTGTAGGCGGCCACATAACGTTCACCATGGTTTTATTAGTGTGAGGATCAATGACATTCTTGGCCTTTTTCGTAAACGATGAAGCAGTCTTCATGCCTTCAAAGTTATTTTTAGCTTTATCCTCAAGAAACCTCTTAAAAGACCAGGCCATGGGATCATTGGTTGGATTGTAGAAATGAGTGTGGATGAGTTCAGAAAGATCAACTTTTGTCCAGGACAAGAAGTCGACTTTCTTCTCATAATATTCAATTCATCTGCTCATTCGCTTTACGATCCACATTTTATTATTAGCATCATATCCCCACATCAAATTGCCAGAGCAGTCCCCATATTTATCTGTAAATTTCTTCCCAGTCTCCTAGAAAAACATCTCAGGGTGATCACCTTGAGCATTTTGGTCTGAATGCTTCATCACTAGCATCTTCCCTTTCAGCTGCTCAATCCTGATTTGCTTCACTCTTCTTTCTTGAGCAGAAGTAGGACCAGAAGATAAAAATGTGTCAAGATTAGCGTCCGGAGCAGGTCTTACAACTCTTTCACTTTTAGGTTGAGAAATTGGATTGGTTGGACCAGAACTAGAAGCATAAATCTTTTCTCCTTCAGCGCATAAAGGTTGAAAATCATCACCAAACTTTTGATGTAAGCGTTGTTTCAGGTCAAAGAATAAAGCAGTTAGACCACCAAGATTTGCTTGAAGTTTTGAAATCTTTGCATCTTTAATGGAGTTCTCCTTTTCAAGATCACTGATTCTAATGTCTTGCTTTCCAATAATCAAATCCTGTTCAGCTGAGCTCTATTCCAAATCAAAAACTTTGTTCTGAAGCAGAGCGACGTCCACAAATTCAGACTCATGCAGCTTGCTTTTTCCTTTTGAAATATCCAACTCAGGGGCTTCAAAGAAGCTTCCAGAAGCTTGAGTCCCTTCTGAAGGAAAGACTTCTTGTTCAACAATAGGGCTTTCAAAATCTTGATCCATGGGAGTGGATTCAGGTAACGAGCTTGAAATCTCTTGCATCACTGGAGAGGACTCAGTGAATGTGCTTTCAATGTTTTAGGCCACAGAACGAGGTTCAATCGGAGTAGATAAATTTTGAACAGAATATGTGATAAGCAATCCAGGACTTGGATCTCTTCTTTTTCTTTTCCTCGGGAGTAGTACGTGAGCTGAATCTTCTTGATCATTCTCAGATGGAGGTTCAGTTGTAACAAGAACTGTTTGGGGAGGCTTTCTCGCAGTTCGCTGAAGTTCAGTAATAAGAGCATCCATCTGTTCAGGGGTAGGTGAATAAGATTGCATAGTTAAGTCATGATCTCTTTCAGTCACAGCAGAAGGTATGACAGCCACATCCTCTTTAGGGATGGAGATACTTTGTAGAAAATCTCCAAACTCATTCTCTGTCAAATCCTTTTCTTGATCCTCTTCTTCTTCATCATTAGATACTTCAATCTCTTCAAATGCAAATTTAAATTTTTGTTTAGGTGTCACGTGTTCCTCGGCAACCTCAGCATTAATGGAACTAGCAACAGGAGTGTTTTCAACTTCAGCAAACTTTCCAAACTTAACCAACTCCTTCAATCCTTGATAGGCGACTTTGGCAGCTTTTCTTGATTGCTTCATGAGTCCAAAGGTGTTGGGACCCAAAGCTTTCATGTCCAAAGTATCAGACGACCTCTCAATTTGAGGGTATTTTTTTATTCAGGATCATTTGAAGGAACCTGGGATACATCAAGAACAGGTCCTTCTTCTTCCCCTGGAGGTTGTTTTTCATTTCTTAAAAAACAAACTTTCAAAAGTTATAATCACAGTTCATTGCTAAAGCGACAATAGCTGAGGTCGCAGTCTGACTGATTTCATCAGATCCTCCCTTCCTTCTAGAAATACAACCCACAAAATAGTGTGCCAGAAACCTCCAGTAAGGTGGCAACAGCTTCCTGATGGTGGGAGGATAATAATTTCTTTCATAACACATCTTCTCAAGAACTTCCTTCACTTGATCAGCGGAGTATTCAACTGGAAATGCAGATGCATCACCAAATTCAAGTATCTCTCGGATTACTTGCTCAGAAATAATTATTTGAGTTCCCTTCACCACCAATTCAACAGTACCAGCTCCTTCAGCTCCCTGCTTGTTGATTGAGGCATTTTTCCAGAACTCAGTAATCAGGTCTTTGTGGATGACTGGATTAGCACGGAGAGCATGAGAAATCTTGCAGTTGTTCAAACCCACCATCATGGATTTGAATTCTTGATGAGCAGCAGGTGGATCCATAGGATATCCAGCAACATTGTGAGAGTCTACAAATTTAATCTGCTCTGCAATTTATCTGCACCAACTAGCCAAGTGAGAATTGATTTAAAATTAATTAAATTAAGTTTAAAATTTGATATCGGTTGAAGTCAAAGATTTAATCGATTTCGGTCAAAGTCAAAACTTCAGGCGTTTTCGGTTAAAGTCAAAGTTTCCATCAATTTCGGTCAAAACTGATCGATTTCGGTCAAAACACTTTTTGACCAGACGTTTTCGGTCAACGTTGGGTGATTTCGGCCGAGAACCCCGATTTTGGTCAGATTGGGTCGGATCTTCATCGATTTCGGTTGAATCCGGGTCGTTGAACCGAAAACCCAAACTCTCACCGAAACAAGATTCAACACTGTTCGTCGGAAAAACTCATCAAAACCAATCGTAACCTGCAAATCTGTGAAAGACAAGTGCACCAAAAACAATTAAAACGCTATTGATGTGATCGAAAAACGATAATCTAGCTGATTTACCAACGAATTTGCAACACAAACACCGGAAAAAGACAGATTTTTCAGGAAAACGGGAAAAAGCTTGTAGAGAAGACAACAATGGCGGATTAGGGGTTTTCCGGTGGTAAACCCTAATCAGCTGAAAAGAGGGAATATATATACCTTAAAAGATTTCGGCCCATATGGCCCACCCCAACGATTTCGGCCCAAAATAACCCAAATTTTAATAAAAATTTTCTTTGATTTTACGTTTCAAAAACCAAAATGAGAATTAAAAATTAAACACACCAAGAAAATTTTAAAATTATTATTTTTTTATTTTTATAATTTTTTTATATATATTTTTATTTTTTTATTTTTTTATTTTTTTATGTTATTATTTCTCCCCCTAAATTTGTGCATAACAAAGAAAATATGTACACATTTAAATAAAAATAAAAAATGTAATCCAGAACAAAAAATTTTGGGATCAAACATTATAGAGCAAATTAATGAGGTTTATCAGCACATACGTTCATGAAAAACTCTTGTCAATCATTGATATTGTAATCCACTTAAACACAAAGAACTTTTTTAGGACATATCATGAGTGACAATATTTAGCTACCATATTCCTAGATAAGACCATTTTGTTTGACGACGACCAGAGATACTGTTGTCCACTTAAATTTAGCCAGTAATATCTACCAGCCAGCCTTTTAGTTATGGGTGTAGTTAATGTTAGTACACTAGAACATGTTTCCCACTTCATGACATACCCCCGTAATCAAGGAAATTTCTTCAGAATCCTTTACTTCAGGTGAGTGTATAATCATTATGGAATGTATACGTTGTGTCCCAGGTCGGATCTACCGATCACGCAGAGGGGACAACATATGACTAAGACAGAGAGTAGAATATTTGATATTTATAGGGGTCAATATGCTGACTTAGGAGCAGCGAACATCATCTGAGTGCATATGTTGTGTCCCAGGTCGGATCTTCCGATCACGCAAAGGGGACAACATATGGCTGACTAAGAAAGAAAGAAAAAAAATGATTTTAAACAGACCCAACTTATCAGAACCCCTCATTCACCCCCTATCAATACCAAAATTAAGGACACTAGTCCATACGCTAATGAAGTGTTGAGCCACATATCTAGATGATAGTTAGCTTCAATTTATGCCAGAGGCTTCCTTGTCTATTTTACTGTTAAACCTATCCAAGCATCGTATTGTCAGTCCAAATGAAGTTTTCTAAGTTCAAATGAGTCCATATTGTCTAGTCCATTAATTTTAGTCCTTTATGCCTACTAACACATTGAACACAGAGTTTATACAATTCAGCTTCAGTGTTTTACACGTATTTCTTTTACCCTTTATCACTAACTCATATCACTTCCCAAAAGATTGTCACAAATTTTTTTTTAAATAAAACAAAATGGAAGAAAATAAGAAACACTAAATAAAATTGAAAAGAAATTTCAGTCTTCGAAACGTATCATCTTAAGAAATCTCACAAGCACGAGCTTGGTTTTTAAGAAAAACTAGGCTTTTGGACAGTTGAAGATCAGCTTATTATCATAGAGAAGAGAAGAGTCAGAAAATTCAAACCGTAATTCAGCAATTGAAGAAATCCCCATTTGTGATATTTCCTTTTCCTTTCCCGCAAAGGACACATGCTCTCCATAAAATTTCTAAATGTCATACATAAGAGAGATGTCCCATATCATGTGCCTGGAACAACCACTATCAACATACTAAGTCTGATGATACTCCTCCATAGCCGCTCCGGCACAAAAATGCGGAATCAATTGGCCTTGGGAACCCAGTCCATTTTGAAATTGGGTTGACCTTTACCATCAACACATGATACTCTTTCCCAAGTCATATCCTGTTTATCAAACACAGAAAATGGAGAGACGTTAGAATTTTTAGGTGATTTGGGAATTGAAACCTTTGGTACCCATCTGTAGTCGGGTTTAACCATTTTCCTGTTTAATTTGATGGATGTTTCAGCACTTGCTTTGGAGCTTGAGACCGATTGTTGAGATGAATTTGACCTTACCGATCTTGATTTGACGGAACTATTTCTCAGACAAGGCTTCTTTTCCGATATGCCCTTTTTGGCCTTGGAAGTTTGATTCTTAGCCTTTTTAGCATTCCAATCACCACTGCTTGAACATGACCTCGCAGAATTTCTTGTGGAAGATCTCCCTCTTGGCACGTTCTTCCAACCTTGTTTATAGTAGGGAACATATGAACGATGTGGGAAATTTCTAGCAATGTGACCGGGAGTCCCACGGTTGAAACAAGTTTGTATTTTCAAATAACTAGGATTGTGACTTGGTCCTTGTCCAAATAAAGTTTGTCTCAAAGACCTTCCATAATCACAAGCACATTTATTAAACTTTTTAACAAATTTTTGTGGCTTGAAATTTTCAACAGTGGGATTATTATTATCACAAGTTTTTAAAGCAGTTTCAGCAGAACTAGAATTATTTTTGTTCTGCTCGAACCCATCTTGCACGGTTACTTTATCTGCACATGAAGTAGAAGCATTAGAATCATTCACATCAATACTCTCAGTTGAGCCAGATTGTTCAGTCTTGATTGGGGCAGTTACAGGGGGCTGACCATACTGTGCAGGTGTCTCTATCTCTTTGGTTTCAAGGGGTGGAGTATAGTTATCATTAAAAGGAGGTGGAACATTATGATACCCTAGACTCGTACCATGTTTGTCTTTCCACCTTAATTGTTTTTCTATCATAGACTCAACTTTTTCACTTGACACATCAAATTTCTTAAAATTAAAGTCAACATCTTTAAATTTAGCCTTCAATGCATCAAGTTCAGCAGTTAAGTTTGCAATTTTCTCCTTGGCAAACCGATAGTGAACACATTTGGTGTTGTACTCTTCTTTAATCCTGCTTAAATCTTTTGTTTGTGCTTCTAGTTTTTCTTTAAGCGGTTTATTTATTTTCTTGATTTCATATATTTCGTTTTTAAGGTCAAAAACCTCTCTAACCAACAATTCATTATGTTCACGATATTTATCTATTTTTTCTTCACAAGATTGAGAACATGAGGTTTCACTTACCTTTTTGGTGATTGAAGAATTCATTATTCACCAAAAAAAAATCAGACCAATAGTCAACACCCTGTTGACTGAGAACCTTAAAGGTCAATTTTTTTATTTTTTACCAAAATCCCTGAAAGTCCAATGCTTGACCGAAAACAGTTAGCCGAGAACTAAATGTTTTGGCCGAAAACTCTTCCAAACCGAAAGCCCAAGTCTTTTCACCGAAAATGTTACTCAGTCGCCGAAAACACTGAGATCAAGCCGAAATCGTGGTTTTTGATTGAGTTTCCTTATCCAATGATTCCCGATATTTGGTAAATTACCAAAAACAATTTCTAATGCAATATCCTCCAAAATCAGTGACGAATCACCAAGAAAATGATGAACATGAAGAACAGCAACACGATGAACAACTATTTTTTTAATACAACCCAAAAACACCACAAACTAATTAAAGTTTCGAATGGAAATTGATACCAAAACAACCTTAATTCGTTTTTTTAAGGCTCTGATACCACTTGTAAGTCCCAAAACTCGGATCTTCTCAAAGTATCAATGCAATTGTTTGAGTTAATGTGGAATCTTAATCAAACAACTATATGAAACAAACAAATAGATGAATCTATGAACACGTTTCAATGAATGCACACAATTTTATTGATCAATTGTCAGGTACATCCAATAGCTTGTCAACAGTGAATCACTTGAATACTCCAAAAAACGCATTAGCCTGGAATAGCTATACATAGACCATATATATATACTACACCAATAACCTAAAGCCCAAATATAACATGCCCACC